TAGTTTTAAATATTCTACATTATTTATTCAAATGTATTACTGTCACCAATTTATACCTTGTCACCATACTTTAACGTTATATGTTTTTTGTAATATTTTTTGTTTTCTCAGTACGTAACACTTATTTATTATTACTAGCAATGCACGTGAATCTATTTAAATAATATTTTTTATAAAAAAATTAAATTATATGTATAATTAAATTGAATAATAAATTATGTAATTTTGATTATTGCCAAATCTAAAAACGGTCATTATTGAGTATTTGCACATTTAATTAAATTATAAATTTATTACATTTTTGTCATAAAAATTAATTAAATTACACTATTATTGTTTGTATTGTGATAATATGATATTGTTGTATACCAAAAAATCAATTATAATGTATATTGGATAGTAAAATAAAAGAATATAGATTGAACTTTATTTCTTAATATAAATATAGACATAGAAATAGAAAATCGTATACAAGTGTACTACTAATAAATAAGTTTAAAAGAATTTAAAAATCAAATACGGTTAATAAAAGATTCTAAAAAAACTTAGAAGACAAATATATAAAGAAAATAAAAATTGAATGAAAGTAATATAGAATTTAAAATTCAAATATTTTTAATAAAAGAGTTTAAAAGAACTTAAAAATTAAATAAATATAATAAAGAAAAATTAAAGAAAACTAATATATGGGTATTATTGACTTTATAATAAAAGCTATGGATAAAATAGAAAATGAAATTTTTTGAACAAATGTTGATATTTATTAGTAGTGTATATATATATATATATATATATATATAAATGTATATGAATTAGGAATAGAGGAATTCTAATATAGCTGTATTATGATTAAAGAAAAAAATACCAAAAAAAGAAAAAGAAAAACTCATATAGATGGATACCCTTGTCTTTTGCATATATGCTCAACAAAGTATTACTTATATGACGATTCTCGTGAAGACAAATTTCAATGAAGAGATGGAGAAAATTCAACTTTAATAATCAAAGTTCCATAAATTTAAACTAAAAATGCATAAAACTATATACCTAATTAGAACTAACATAACAATCGTATCGTCGAGGTTCAACAAAAAAAAAATAGAACATAACAATAGTCCCAATAAATATTTACTCAAAAATCAATTTACTCTATATTGCATCACAAATAAATTTAGTATTCTGGGCAACTGCAGGTTAGGTTTGGTAACCCAAGATTAAAATTTTAGCCCAAACATAAGATTTGAGGGTCCTTTGAACTATTGTTCCCAAATCCTGGATATCAATCCCTCTCAAACCCACATAACAAATAGGACCTAAGAGTGTAAAATAAGAATTTTTAAAAAATTTAGGATATAAAGTGTAAAAAGCCCAAATAATTATATATCTACAATGTGGAAAGAGGTTTTCCATCAAGAAGATGCTATGAAATTTCCATCTAAACCCAGAATTTCCATCCCACTGTCTACGGCTACGCGTGAAATTAAAAGACAACATTTTTAGTACTTATTATTGGTCCCTACATTTTTAGTCCTTGTCGTAACCAAGTTGCTAAGAAAAATTCATGTAAACACGAAGTCTCAAAGAAATGGAGATTAAGAAACATGTAGCTTTCACGACTTATCACATCACACCGTGTTATTTTTCGGTGTTATATTGAATTAAGAATTAATACTATGTATTTTTTTTTATTAATTTAGTCTTTATTATATCAATTTGATCAATTTGATCGCTAAAGTAATTAATTTTTGTCACTTTGATCTCTACATAGATGAAATGTCAAGTTTTTTTTGACAGAAGTGACTATATGCCATTTTTTTAAGATGATATCGCATGGTCGACAGGGGTGGGTGTGTATGTGTTTATCTATTTCTACTACTAATAAAAGTATGTTAGATTAAAAACTTTTAAATCTCTATTTTACCCTTATAAAAGATTGTAAAAATCACTTTATCCTTTCACAATTAAATATCTAAATTACTATCATATCCTTATATATTTAAATCTCCAAAATAACTATAACATCTCTTTTAATTATTTATTTTCTATGTATAAATATTTATTTTTTGATTAACTATATTACACTTAAAAAACCATCATTATATTTTCAATAAATTGTTCTAAAAAACTTCAAAGACTCCATCTTTCTAATATTACTCATCATCTTTTATCCTATATATATATATATATATATATATATATATATATATATATATATATATATATATATATATTTTTCATCGAAAAGTTGAACCCTTTCATTTTTAAGATAAAAAATAATCATATGTATAATTTTTTAAAATCAATTTATGTTATATCAATATAATTCTTCAATTACAATAAATTTTAGGATAAATTACATTGACAGTCATGTAGAGTACTCTAATTACATGGACACTCCCTCAATTTTTTGAAATTACACTGATACCCCATGTTAGGTCTTGTCCCTTAACAAATATAACAAAAAATGTAATTTTTCATAATTACCCTTACCATACATCATTTTTTACTTATCATTCTCTCATATATTTAAATACTAATAAATATGTCATTTTCAGGTTAAATCCATAAAACATGAAATTGACACGATCAACCCGTTTTATTTAATCATGTCGAATTCCTCTATTTTCTCGTTTATATGTTAACACGAAAAACATGGAATTACAATGATCCATATGTTTAACTGATATTATAAAAATAAAATATTAATTATTTGATGTTGATTATTAAGCACTAACATAATTATTGTATAAAAAATATATTTTTACTCATTATTACTATGTTTATTAAGTTAATTTTTAGTTTATAGAAATAGTATGAGCATTGTTTCAATTAAGTAATAATAGAACCTTAGATTTAAATCTTAATGTTAAATTTTTTTATTTAAAATTTATATGAGTCAACACGAATATGAACACACCTGTACGAGTAGCCCAACGGTGTGGAGTTGAACTCAGACTTAATTGATACCTGTGGTTTACAGGTAATAGCAGGTATTTGGGATTTACTCTCGCAAGAATGGGTCCAAAGTGGTCTTACTTTGGAGAGGTTCCACGATATAAAAAAGAAATATGAATGCGAACACGAACACGATACGAAAATAAATAGGCTAGCCTGATTTTATCCAAGGGTAATATAAGTATTAAAATATAAATAGTTGATGATGTAATCACTTTTTTGACATTGCCAATAACAATGATAACCATAGAGAAACTTTGTGAAATGGGTAGGTAAATAATAAGGGATGTTGGTGTAATTTCAAAAAATTGAGGGGTATCTTTGTAATTAGACCAATGTACGGGGATGTCAACGTAATTTACTCTAAACTTTATAAGTTGTACTAAGATTTTTTTTTTTATAAAAATAAATATCGTAGCGTATTTCTAAGTAAACCTTGAATTCTTTAGAATTTTAAGATATTTTATAATATAAATTATAGAGTAGTATATTAAATCTTATTCCAATTAACCTAACTTATTTTTAATTGCAGTAAGGTTCAAATGTGATTAGTATATTAACAATTACTTTTATTTTATTCAATGGATTATAATTGAAATCCTAATTAAATGAATTTCAAAAAATTTAATTTCTCAAACATCACTAAAAAAATCAATCTTAATCACAAAATTCTAAAAATATAAGACTTTAACTATTTTTTATTTATTTTTTTTATAGTTAGATCAAAGAATTTTGGGAATATATAAAATTTTTATAATCTTATAATAGAATATAAGTAATAAAAAATTAAAATTTATAAATTTGAAATGATATTTAATTCAGATACATATATACTTAATATATTTTATTAATTTTTGTGTACGAAAATTATTCACGTGCAACGCACGTAGTACATTTTTAGTATCAACAAATAAAAACTAAAAAAATATATAATCCCATTTAAACAAGTTTGTTTGTTAAGAAATAGTCACTCCTAAACACTAATTTCACATGGCTTTCATATTATGTTAGCTGTCGTATTAGAAAATCTTCACCCCCTAAAGATCTAGATTACCACCATGTCTTGAACATAAAAGATAACATTGACTCTTCGTCAAGCCAGTCACATGGAATAATGAGCAATATTGTTTCATTTATAGTTCAACACAATTGACTCTTACTTTTCGTGGAGTACTTGACTGGGCAATGGCGTAGGTGGTGAGAACTCCTCAAGTAGTCTCAGGCCAGCATCTATATATAATCGGGAAGTGGCAGATTGTTTTGCATCCAAATTAAGTGTAAGAAACATAATTCTCTTCTGTGAGGGTTACTTATTTTCTCTTCTCCATGGCTCGATTTTATGTGAAGAGTAAGAAACATACTATGGGAGCTATGTTCATACTTCTTGGGTTGTTAATGCCTACCCTCGAAATAATAGGTATCTTTCTTCCCCCCCACCCCCACCCCAACAAAAAGAAAAAAAAAAAAAAAATTCTATATGCATGTATCTGCTATCAGGGTTGTCAATATATAGGTCACATTCTATTTTTTTTATATATATATACAGTTGGATTCATGTTGCATTGAATTCGTGTTGTGCAAATATATTTAGCCTGGTTTGTGTTGCATCTAACCGAATCCATATAAACCTATTTACTTAATTAATGAATTTAGCATGTTCACCTATTTACAAAACAAATCCTTGAAGATTAATCAAAACCCGCTAAATCCATATCAGTTTTGTATTGTGTTTGTAGATCGTGTGTAAAGTTTTCAGCCTGAGTATTTGCTACTCTGGAAAAAAACTAAGCCTTCTTCATATATGTATACCTATGTGTCTTAGCGCCAACTGTCCTATGTTAATGAATTTATTCCTTGGGTTTAACTTCAACAATGAGTCATTTGAAAGTCTTTGTCCCTTCTGTATTCGAAGTTCTAACACCTATGGAATGTTTCAATCTTATACAGGTGCACAATCCATAGGTGTGTGCTATGGAAGAAATGGTAATAACCTAACAACGGAAACAGAAGTTATAAACCTTTACAATACAAATGGAATAGGAAGAATGAGAGTTTACGATCCAATTCCAGAAACTCTAAATGCTCTTAGAGGAACCAACATAGAAATCATCCTCGATGTCCCCAACCGAAACCTCGAATCCCTTGCATCGGACGCTGCAACAGCAACTGACTGGATCCAGAGGAACATAATCGCCTACTCACCCGATGTTAGATTCAGATACATTGCTGTTGGAAACGAAGTCGATCCCAACACTGATAAATCTCAATATGTCCGATTTGTTCTTCCTGCTATGCAAAACATTTACAATGCAATTGTAGCAAGTGGCCTACAAGACCAAATCAGAGTCTCCACCGCGACATACACTGGTTTGCTAGGCAATTCCTCTCCCCCATCAGAAGGTTCATTCCTTGAGAATGTGAGGCAATTTGTCGACCCTATCATTGGCTTTCTAGCCCAAAATAACTTGCCACTGCTTGTCAATGTGTATCCATACTTTAGCTATATCGGTGACACTGTAAACATTCCACTTCCTTATGCCTTATTTACTGCAACAGATGTCGTACGCGATCATGATCTCGAATTTCGAAACCTTTTTGATGCAATTTTAGATGCTCACTACTCAGCTCTTGAGAGGGCGGGTGGACCCAATTTACAAATTGTTGTATCAGAGAGTGGCTGGCCGTCTGAGGGTGGGACTGCAGCTAACTTGGACAACGCAGGCACTTACTATAGGAATTTGATTGATCGTGTAAGGGGAGGGACAGGAACTCCAAAGAGGCCTGGAAATGCTATAGAAACTTATTTGTTTGCTATGTTTGATGAAAATCTGAAGGAAGGGGACGAAACAGAGAGACATTTTGGCCTCTTCTACCCTAATCAGCAGCCCAAGTATCAGATTAGTTTCAACTAAGTAAATGAAACAAGAGAACCTATAGTATGGTTTAATCCTTTACTTCTATCAATTATGAATAAAAGTTTTATGCTTGTAATGCTATTGGGAGAGGGAGAGAGAGAGAGACAGACTCCATGTGAAATTTACAAATAATACGTAATTTACGAATAATTTGTGGCAGTCCTACTATTTGGTGTTACTGTAAATTGAGAGTGATTGTGAAGTTGTGATTTGTGATAACGTAATGGTTCTTTGTTTTGCTATGTGGTCATGGTTTTCGAAGTGTTCTTATAATCAAATACACAAAAACAAGTTTGACAACTAATTTTAAAAAGTAATCTACATGAATCTTAACACTCCAGTGTGGACCGAAATGGTCTTACGAAGCCGATTCCTGGATTGTGCAAGTCCTTTTCTAACTTGAAGAGGAGCAAACAAGACTTCCCAGAGTAGGGGAGAATAACAATGTTCAAGCTTGAAGTAAGTAACAAATTCCTGGCTAGGCTAGTCATCCAGTAATGTTGGAGCACATAAGGGTCCATTTTTCACATCATCCACGACATAAATAAGTTCCTGGCTAGTCATCCAGATTGGAGTATAAATCATGTCCCAAGGGAATCCAACTCGACAGCTCATCCATTGGCAAGATGGGGGTTGGCTATGCATTTCACAGGATCCTTAGCAGTGAATGAGCTTGATGCATCCTTGTGAATAGGAGTAGCATTAGATAGATTTTACTAGCACTTTGTTTACCTTAGTGTCTAGTTTACTTCATGTCTTCTTTTTCCTGTACTTCTTTATTTCCAAGCAAAAAAAAAAAAAAGTAACAAATTCTGAATAAGAAAAAATAAGATGATAAAATGCAAAACAAACCGTGAAAGTCTTACGTTCAAATAATTACGAGCTCTAACTCTCATTAGAGCTTTCGGAACAATAATTGAGCTCATGACAGAAACCGTCTTTATATAACATGTCCCTTTCTTTCACGCACATACATGTGACCACAACCCACACCCACCTTCATGTGGCCTCCACAGCTTCACCAATCTCTCTCCCACTCTCTCTCTCTCTCTCTCTCTGACCCAAAACCCTTACGAGTCGGTTCACATCATAAACTTGCTCTAGACACCACCATCGCTGATATCAATTGGGGTCGGGTGGGGACGCACCTAGAAACCTTAGTGCACATTGAGACTAGGCTGGGACCACAGATGTAACCATCGTCCCAGTAAAATTATAGATCTAAAATATTTGGGGAGTGAAATCATAATTATCAAGAATTCTAGAATTTTATTGGGGATTGAAATATAATAACTAGAAAGCAGTAAAACATAACTAATTTAACTAAGAAAAAAACCTGATAGACGAAGATATGAGTATGCATTTGGTTGAAAAATAATGAAATCTTATAGTTTTTTAGATTTTTAATTCACGAATTACACAAGTTAACCCAAACACAACACGAATAATAAATAAACCGGGTTAGCATGAAAATATCTGATACAATTAATTAAATGAATTGTGTTAGAGTTGACTATTACTTAACATAATCGGAACTAACACGACACAATTACTACCACTACTACTAGATACCACCATCACCGGTATGAATTGGGCTTGGGGGACTTGAAGCCTTTGTACTTATTGAGACTAGGCTGGGGCCGTAGGTGTAATAACTGCGCTAGTAAAATTAAAGATCTATATAATTTAGGGGTAAAATTATAATTATAAGAATGTTGGACATTTATTTAGGATTGAAATACAATAACTTGAAAGGAGTAAAATAAAAAAAATAATAATCTGATAGAGGAAGATATCTTTTTAAGAAAATACTATTTTGACGTAATTTGATGACCTAATGATGTACAATCATTGAATTGATTGTGGGCTTCATCTAACATTAAAACTCACAACTAATTTAATGGTTACATTAAAGTTACATCATTAAGTTTTCAAATTAAATCCCTAAATAAGGTCTTATAGCATTGCTCATCTTTTTAAGGAGTTGTGACTTGTGACTGCAAGAAGCATCAATGTTTAGAATGCAGTACAGGGTTAAACAGTTTGTTGAGGCTAACGTTGTTTAGTTACCTCTTCTTTTCTTCTATTTTCTTCTTTCTCTTTCTTTTTCCCACAACTAAAACTGAAACACTATCGTTATGTTTGGTACGTAATAATGTTTTTACAAGATAACGGAATCAATGTGAGGATGAAATGAAATGTTTATTACCAATCTAATGGTTAACAACAACTAGGATTAAGCGTTGAAATATATTTAAATGAATTAGTTGGCACCATTGAATGCAACTTTGGTTAGTAGTCGCTTTGATCAAAAGTCTCACCCTCTCCCTTCTCCAGTCGCCTTAGCAGGGACGACGGCCCAACAAATCTGGAGGTCCTAGGCAAAAATATGAAGGTGGGCCCTATTAACAACCTTAATACAATAATCTATATCTATAGTACAATAAAATGTCAACAAAAGTGAAATTTTTTTGTTTAACTATAATAACCTTAATACAATCACTAATGTCTATACTACCCTTTTTTCATTTAATATATATATTTGTGTGTGTGTATATATATTATCATATAAATATTGAAATGTCTTGATTCTTCGTATTCACACTTGAATAACAGTTGTGTATATTTATTGGCATAAAAAGTGAGTGCACCAGTAGCGATAGAAAATGAAAGGTTTTCTTTTGGTACATTTATTCAACTTTAATGCACTAAGGACCATTTTATTCAATGTGCATTGAATATATCATATGCTAAAACTTGAAAATAGACATTTCATCTTTTCATATTCACGTTATACACAAAACCATATACATTTAAACCCTACAGGTACCTATATTAAATATTCAACTAGCAAATATTAGTTGGAACTTCAATCGTTTTATATTTTCATCTCTTTGTCTTATTGATTCTCTTTTAAAAATCCTTATGGTCTAATATTTAGTAGACTTTTGCCCTCTCTCTTCCTCTCTCACCATCTGTTTTCTTCAAGGACCTGATTACCTTTTGTTTTACTTGTTATATTTTTTGATTGTTTATGTTTATTTAATTGAGTGACATCCTATTTTCCCAAGTGCTCCGTTTGTCTCATGTTTTATTTTTTGTCTTTACTAATAGTTTATGTTTTTTAATCACTGAAGATTGCTAATATTTTGGGTTATAAGACTGTTTTATAATGTGTGATTTAATGGAGAAAGATATTAAAAAAGACAAGAAATCAAATGTCATTTGCCCACAGTGTGCTTCTAATCAATTTCATCTAGCATGAGTAGTTATATGCATTTGGATTTGTGTTTCTTCCTATCCGTATGAGCCATATCAATTCTTTGACACAGACAAACTTCCAACTGAACTAGAACTTCCACCCAATTAGGGTGACCTAATCAACCATGCTTTTTTACTTTTATTTTTTAATCATAGGATATATGATTCAAAAGTTTTTGAATTTGGAAACTTTAACATTTATACTAACGCAATTTTGTAACGAATTTGACCTAGATATCAAGGGATAAGAAAATTCTATACTATTGTTATTGGTCTAAATAAACTTATGTTACACCTTTCTTAGCCCGAAATTTCTACCATGAGGCGAGAGAAAAATGATAACAAAACTATTTAAAATCAAGCAATTTAGTTGTTGGTTAGCTGTTGTATAGTGTTTATTTATGAATACAAACCTTGTGTTTGTTATAGTAGCTTGTAAATCACAATTGAAAATAGTAGTTGTGCACCAATTATACTTGCCATTACATTTACAAAACCTTAATTTTCTTATAACAACGTTGTTGAGAATTTTTCAACTTGTTATTTTTCCACAATTTGTTCTCAATGTGGAGAGATGCATTCAAACCATTGATTAGGAATATTGTTTTACCATTCCTATACTGATTTGTAGATATTGAACAAAAGGAAGCCAAGGGACATGGACGTAGATATTAGAGACTCAATTCTCACATTTTTATCTTGCTTCGATAGAGTCAAATATTAATATTTCCATAACACAATTGTTCTATCAACTTATATGCAAAATTTATAGTATAACCATTGCTTGGTGTTTAGTTTAGATGACAAAAATCTACTTATGGTTGTTGTATGTTTAGATAGAATTAACATTTATATGTGATGATAGTTTTTGTTTGATAAATGAAAATTTGAATTATAAGACAATATTAATCTATTAATCTAAATTGACCATCTAGGATCTATAAACATCTAGCATCTATAGACATATGAGATAAAATAAGTTACAATAAAGTTCGATGATTTGGTGAATAGTGAATAGTGAATAGTACACATTTTATTTGTCTTGTGTTTAATAACTTGCTATGAAGTGAAACACATCATTGGGTATTGTTCTCCATGTGAACATTTCAAGGTCCTAACAATAAAGATTAATTTTGTTGGCAGCAAATTATGATTAAAAAAATGTGTCTATATGTTTTGATCATGTTTTCTCTGTTCGTTTATGGAGAAACAGTGAATTGTCTAAAATTGTTATTTTTAGATTAATATTTAGCAATGTAAAATGTCAGATTGATACTGAAATAAGATTTTAAAATACTATCTTAATCATAACAAAAAGAGACAAGAAATTTCCCAGTAAAACTTTTGATGAATACCTACAAGAACACAAAGAAAAAATTGAAGGTTTATATGATTAAATAACACTTATATTGACAATTTTCATATTCAAAACAATTCACATACAACATACGAATGCATCAACTAGTTATTAAAATATATTCATTTAAAAGTTATTTTTTTAGCCCTAAATATTCTGACCCTTGAATCTTGATCACTATCAATTAATTGATGGTTTGTTGAACTACAAGAGATTATAGAATAGAGAGCTTTGATGTTCTTTCTTTGTTCAGATTCAAACTTCACAGAGAGAGAGAGGGGCATGAAGGAGTGGCGTTAAATAGAACTATGATCTGTGAGTAACTGAATCCCGTAATTTTGGTGAGAGAGGCAAAGTAATGTAGAGAGATTTGCTTAAT